ATTAGCACCACTGTCTAATAAACCATAAAAAGATAAACCTAAAATTTCAACTTTAGCATACGGACATTCACCTTCGCCGACTTGAGCTAAAATGTAATCAAGAACAACTTTACCTTTAAAATCTTTGACCGGACTGTCAACAAAAGAGGCGGTGGGCCGATCAACTACCGTCTCTGCGTAGCGTTTCCCGAACCAGAAGTTCGTGTGTTTTGGTTGTTTCGAGATGATTCAGATGTACTAGGCTCATTACGACTTCGAGAATTCCTATTTGGATTGCAATTAGGACACGAATTCTTTGTGAAACCCTCTTTACCACATCCAAAACAACGAAAATCGTGTTTCCTTTTCGGACAATCTTTCGCAAAATGCCCCGGAGTTTTACATCTCCAACAAGTTTGTTCTCTAATTTGAATTTCATTGACAGTTGGACGGCTTTGTCTCGGACTACCCTTGTAAGCTAAATCAGGTTCTAAAGAAAGTGACGACAAATTAGGCGGCTTAAAATTATCTACAGATTCACGAATTTCCTCGATTTTACGACATAGTTCAATAAGTTCGAAAGGTGATCTAATTTCTGTTAATGCTAATCGTTCCTGGAAGAATGGCAAAATATTTCGACGCAAAACTTGCATACGCAAACTATCTGACACATGTGTAGGCATTCTATCAAATAAACTCGTCATAATAGCTACATATAGACCTATCGACTCGGAAGCACCCTGAGTACGCGAAAGAATTTGTTGCCATAGTTTATCTGCGGATGGAACATACTCTTCCTTCATCAACTTAATCAAACTATCCCAATCACTCGCATATCTCTTAAACCAGTTGTACATTCTCAATGCATCGCCTGCGAAAAGATCTCTAGCTGAGCTAAACAAATTTGCTTTATTAACATTTCTACTAATGCAATGTTCCTCTACCTCTTCTAAAAATGAATTAAAACTTTCAGTAGGTAAGCCCGAAAATTTAATTTGCCACTTATAAACAGGTACCGTAAAAGAAGAATTAACGTTAAAGCTATTATTTAAATTTAAATCATTATTAGGTATCGGTGGAACACGCGGTGACGACGTAACAGGTGGTGGAGAATGCGTTTCTGTATTTCCAGAAGTACTAGGTGGTATGTCTTGAAGGCGTAAATCTGTAAGTACATTTTGTTGTACAGGTTTTAAGGCTAAGTTTTTACTATTATATACAGAAATCATTTCCATCAAACCCTTACGAAGCACGGCACGCTTGCACATAAGATCTGGATCATCAGAAGTAATTCGTTCTAATCTATTATACGTATGACATATCTTTGTCTCGACCCGTCTAACCTGCCCTACAGAACCAGAGAATGTCGTTAAAAATTCCGTAATATCATTCAGCTTAGTCTGACAAATATTTAACTCCTCAGAAGCATCTCCCTCAAAAGGAATAGGTTGGTTAAAAGAAGCATCTTTTTCAAGACTTAAAGCGCTACGAAGACTTTTCCTAAGAGCATCCACATTATCAGACTCGGCTATACCTCGAGATCGAAGTTCCCAAATAAGTTCATCTTTATGCAATCTGTCTACGTCTAGTTTGAAAGGCATTTTAATAGTCAATCAGTTTCACACGAAATAATATTAAAGTAGTTACTACCAATTTAAAAATAAATAACCAATGACACTATCTGCGACTGTGACTGAATTAATTCAATAATAATTTAAATCTGACACTTCCACGTAATCAAATTTCAAAATTCACTAAAAATTTAAAATTTTCAATCATTTATTTAAAATCAATACAATTTTTCCACCAGGCCCTGACACGTTTGTGCGCCAAAGTTTATAACGCCACCTTGGGTGAAAAAGTTTATAAGGAGAACTCAGATTCACCAGGTTCCGTTACAAATAGGTTCCAGCTAGCTCAGTAAATAATTAAGTAAACTATATATGCACAGAACAAGAGATATCAAAAGGGAGGTGTATGGAAAAAGTGTACTGATTGAAAAGTCCAAAATGTACTGGATTCGTTTAATAAATATTAAATTTAAAAGTTAAAACAAATTGCCAAGATCTATCATAAAATGTAGCAAATATTTAAATAATACGAAATAATGAAACATATATATACTAGTAAAAAAAATGAACTATCCGTAGAATAAATTAAATCATGAATAGTATCACAAAATATTGTTGTGACTAAACTGTGGACAACCCTGATGCGTATTTGTGATTATGATATTTAAGTCTATAGAGAATAAAATGAAATTTAAATGTAAAAATCCCCTGGTATACCAAGTTCACATACGATCGTATATTTAATGTAATAAATTTTAATCAATCATAAACGCAATAAAATAAGAGATGATTAAAGTCTTATCTGTTCTCCAGTGGTCGTTCCAGTCAGTCCATGAGAAAATCCAGATTGCCAGTCTTCAGTGTCACAGTGGCATTCCTCGTCACAGTGGCATTCACGTCACAATGACATTAGTTTCAGTACCAAATCCAGTACAAAAAAAATTGATAAAAATCCTAAGATAAACCGTAATCATCACTAAGAGCCAAGGAACAAGAACCCTAAAATGTGATCTATTTTAGTGACACGTTCTAGTTTGGACATAGTAAAATACCTTTCCACCATGCGGACCAGGGTTCGGAAAACTACATGTTACTTTTAAAAACTACATAAACTACATTACATGTAGTTAATGTAGTTGTATGAAAGAGGTGTAGTTTGTAACATATGTATGTAATTTTCAAATATCAAAGATTTGAGGTGAGGTTCTAATAAGTTGAAGCTTTAGAAAACACATAATGTATTAAAAAAAACAGAAGAAATATGGTTTTAAATATAACTAACTATTCACATCATATTATTTACATTCCTCATAAAAGCAAAATTATTCATATCAATAGGTAGTTTATAAACGTAGTTTCATGTAGTTAATGAACGGGAAAAGACGTAGATTTTGAAGAAAAACTACACGTAGTTAATAAGGTAAAATTACGTCTTAATTAACTACTTCCGAACCCTGATGCGGACCTTCCAAGACAAGATGGCGTCTCAACGCATGTTACTCCATGGAAAAGGGTTCCCTTAACTGTCCTCGTACCCATCCCAGTACGTCCACGCACCCATCTACAACTCCTGTCCTCTTAAAATAAATAGTTGTAGAAGAGAACCTTACACCTAAGAATGACTCTTACCCAACCAACGAAGATATCCCTTTCAAGGTTTCCCCGGAATTCCAACTACACAGGCCAAGCTCACTTTCTTGCCAATCGGTCTTCTCGACCTTCAATGAATTCCAAGACCGTAATTCTACTGAACAATCCCAATATGGAACGGCGACCAGCCAAAATTTCACTAGAATTTCTTTTATTTTCGGCAGAGATCAGAGGGCTTCCCTTGCTTTCACCAAGATGGTTCAAAGTCGAAAAGGACGCGTGTTTGCAAAATCCCGCAAAGACGCTGGACTCCAAGATACCAACCCAAAGTCTAACACAGGCAACCAGTAAAACAAAAGACCCAAAATAAAATTCGATGTAAAATTTTATTTAATGCATAAGGATTGAGTGAAACATTATATTACATCATAATAAAATTATAATAATCCCTATAAGAACATAATATCTTCGGAAAATTATTAATACAGTTTGCGATCATATATAAAAACGTTTAAAAAGATCGAAAATCTAATTTACAAGATTCATCTGTCAAACTTCAACGTCGGTGTCAAACGATCAGCTGACAACAATTGAAACGTCAGTCTGTAAATCGTAATATAAACAAGATGAAATTTAGGAAAAAATCAACTATAATCAGGTAAAATCAATTGATTACATACAGGAAAAATACATAATAAAATCCTTAACCCATATGTATATTGCAGACCCAACATTCCCACTTTGCGTTGAAAACAGACAAAAGATAATCACATCAAGTCTATGTTCAAGAATCCTCCGAAGAAATATGCCAAGAAAATTATCCTAACACAAGCATAAGTCTAAATAAAGAATTAGTAACCACTGTAGAAAGAAAGGTAGGTTTTAAACAGACAAATTGATATTTTATTAATGAGGTTTTATATTACAGTTATCGGAGACAACTCCATCCCAAGAAATTGTTGTGGTGAAGAGATTTAATAGATAAGATATTATTAGAAGTTATATGTACAGTTAAGAAGTAAGCTAATTAAACGTTATTATTCAAGTTATTCAAGTAAGTTTAGTTTTATTCCTAAAAATAAGCAAAATAAGTAAAATAAGTTACGGTGAAATTTTAAACCGTAACGATGAAATTGTGTCAGATGACGAAATATCGAAAGGCATGCACGAAAAAGTTGTTCAAAATTTGCTTATATTATTTATTTATATATCGCTGCTTTGCTTTGAGAGGGGCACAAATAAAAAAATATCATTTTTGCTTTTTCTGTAATAATAAACTCATTATTTTATTGACTTTTATCACAAAAACAGGCATAATCCTATCTCCAGTCGTCTTCCGCTAGAGTGCACATGTGTCGCTGTCAAATTACCGGCGGTGTTTCATCGACAACGGCACATTATTCAGTTGCGCACGAGACGTCAAAGGAAAACCTCGTAATGTTTTGTCAGAGAGTGGCACATTTCTAGTTGTGACAAGTCTGTGTTTATTTCATTACTTTGATATCGGCACATTTCGTGCTGTGTCCATATTTTTGATAAGTATTATTATTTAATACCCACGAATTTTTCTCAGAAAGTGGTACATTACGAGTTGTGACAAGTTTTTGTTAATTTTATTTCTTTGAAATAGGCAGATTTCGTGTTGTGTCGATATTTTTGAAAAGTCATATTATTTTAGTTCAGTTTTTCTTGCATATTTAAGATGCTATTTTAAAATGTGCATTTATAAAGGATTAATTAATAACATTTATCTGGCCTTTTTTAGAGTTATGCCTATATCAAAGAAATAAATGTCCTTAATATCATTTAGTAGCTTTGTTTCCACCAAAAGCATTATATTGAATTTTTTTAGTATACAGTATGGCAGCTTCGCATTCGCTACATGATAGAAGCCGATTAATAATGAAGCTATCTAAAGTACCAGTTGAGAAAAGACGAGTTTTAAAAGAACGTCCAAGTGAAAATCTTACCGAAGTCTGGAAGAAAATTCGTGAAAGCGATCCCATAGGTGATTATGGTAATTTCTGTTTTTTTGTTAAAATATTTTGCCATTTTTTAGTTTCTATTTTTATAGCAAATGAAAAGGAGCGAATGGAAATAAAAGAAAACTACTTCAGAAAGGGAAGAACAACAAATTGTTAGTTCTGAAAATTGGTTTCAAGTAACTTTTTTGGAAAATGAAGAAATCAAAGATCGAAGGGAAGATATAGAACCGGCGATAGCAGATTCAGTCGCTCAGGAAAAAGGTGAATAGTTTTGAAGTATCAAAAATACATAACTATATGATGTATTTTATTTTCACGGTCCTGTTTTCTATATACTGGAGATAATTATTATTTTTAATTTCTAGGTCCTTTGATTGATGAGGGAGAGAAAGAAAATATAGAGCAAGAAGTGGATGATGCAGAAAGCGGAAGTAGAAAACCAGGAATAAATGAAAACATCAACGAAGTTAAAATATTGGAACAGGAAGAAGAGTTTCAACAACTCATGTTTGATTCAGATGACTCTAATGCGGATCCCAATTACAATGCCTCTGAAGATACGAGCAGCAGTGAAGATTCATCTAATGATGCTCGGAAAGAAAAAGATGATGAAAATATGGAAAGCGAAAAAAAAAACACAGGTAAAAAAGGAAGAAAAAGAAAAAAGGCTATGGAAACCTGGGTAACTATTTCTAGCAAGAAGTTACGAAACAGTGGTAAACCCTATAAATCATACAAAACAAAGAAGGAAGTTAAAGGAATGGAATTAAAAAGAGCTTGTACTGAAAGCTGCAAGCAAAAATGTTCGAAAAATTTTACAGAAGATGAAAGAAAATTTATTTTTAATAATTACTGGCAGATGGGAGATCTGCATAGACAGCGAGAGTTTATTGCTGCAAGTATGATCAAAGTTGAGCCTAAATATCGCTATGTTAGAGAAGGAAGTAACAGAAAAGCCAACAATGCTTTCTATTTCGAAAAGAAAGGGAAACGTGTCAGAGTTTGCAAGGTATTTTTTATGAATACCTTAGACATTAATCACAGGGTCATTAGAATTGTAGTAAACAAAAAACTTGACCTTTCGACTAGCATCGTGTCGGAAGATCTTAGGGAGAAGCACAATAGTCACAAACATATAGATGAAACATTAAAAAATGGAGTCCGCCAGCATATCAATTCAATTTCGAAAATACCAAGTCATTACTGCCGTGCCGATTCAAGCAGAGATTACATAGACGGGAGCAAAACAATAGCACAAATCTATACAGGGTCCGGCAATAGTGCGTCGGGCATCTGTAGCTCCTAGAATAAAAAACTTGAGAATTTTGTTTAAGTGCAAACCTAAAGTATGTACCAGGATGTATTTCAGGAAAATATTTTAACTTCTATAGGGTGGCTCAAAAAACTGTGAGTGTACCTGGATGATTTTTTTTTAAATGAAACACCCTGTATATTATTGCATTTTTGGCTTCCTTTCAGATCACTTTACATAACCCTAAGATATGAATAAATATATTTCGATAGTTTCAGAGATATTAAAAAATAAATCAAAAATATATATTTTTCAGCCCTTCTTAAAAAAATTATTAAAAATACAAGAACTGTTCTGAAATCAAAACTATATGAGGTATTTACTATAGATGGTTTGTTCTTACTTTGCTATAAATATGGTAATCGTAAATCATACAGGATGTTCAATATTCAACGCCAAACTTTCTAAAATATAAAATAATTTTTCTTTGTTTTTTTAAATGGAACACCCTGTATATTATTTTTTTATTAAATGGAGAGTTTAAAGATGAACATTTTTTGTATTTAGAGTATTTCAAAATTTTAACGGTTTCGCAGATACACGCAGTATTATTTCATATGGCGCTTTCAATGGTAAAATACGAGAGAAAAATCATTGGGTGGCTTTGATAAAAATTTACTGTGGAAAATGCCGTATGAAATATAAAACCGCAAATATCTGCGAAACCGTTAAAAATTTTGAAATACTCTAAATACAAAAAATGTTCATTTTTTAATCCTCCATCTATTGAAAAAATAATATACAGGGTGTTCCATTTAAAAAAACGAAGAAAAATTATTTTATATTTTAGAAAGTTTGGCGTAGAATTTTGAACATCCTGTATAATTTAAGATTTTCATATTTATAGCAAAATAAGTACAGACCATCTAAAGTAAATACTTACGTATAGTTTTGATTTCAGAACAGTTCTTGTATTTCTAATATTTTTTTAAAAGAAGGGCTGAAAAATATATATTTTTGATTTATTTTTTAAAATCTCTGAAACTATCGAAATGTATTTATTCATATCTTAGGGTTATGTAAAGTGATCTGAAAGCAAGCCAAAAATGCAATAATATACAGGGTGTTCCATTTAAAAAAAATCATCCAGGTCCACTCACACTTTTTTGAGCCACCCTATAGAAGTTAAAATATTTTCCTGAAATACATCCTGGTACATACTTTAGATTTGGACTTAAACAAAATTGTCAAGTTTTTTATTCTAGGGGCTACAGATGCCCGACGCACAGTGCTTCGAACATATGGCTCTAGAGGACAAAAATCCAAAACTTCTTTTTTATTATAGGTAATTTATTCAAACTAGGTTTATTTGACACAAATGATGAGTACTCTCATTGTACTAAATGATGATGTTCTTAGTCCCACGTTTATGAAAAAAAATCTTATAAATAATAAAAATGTTGGACCTGTGTTCTATCTAAGGAAATAATAATTTATAGTATGAAAACGGTGTAAGTATTAAATAAATCCCTGTGATAAAAAAGAATTGAAATAACATTAGAACATGATTCCTACAATATAAACCTAATATAAGATAAAAATGTTTTTCTTTAATGAGAAAGAAAAATTAATGTTATATCTAATTAAAAAAAACTTAAGATACTATAAATTTACTTTAGGACAACAAAATGCATAGATCGTAACTACTCTGATTCAGAAGAATCACTGCTGACAGAATCTTCCAAATTTATAGTATCTAAATCACAGGTAGATGAAGTATCCTCAGATATAAGATATTTTTGCACATTTTCTAATATGTTACTTTTTCGCGTTGTTACTTTTCTTTTTGTTGGTATGAGGGGTTCGGATGTTACCTCTTTAATAGACCATATCCATATATTATTTTTACCTTTTCTTGGGTGTGAGGTTTTATAATAAATTGAAAGGATGGAAACTTTTTTTATGCCACGCTTCGCTCCAACATAGTGGACTTTTTCAGGCACAAGTAGTGTCTCATTTGACTGGAAAGTTCATCAATATCTAATCTAATAATAATTCTCAAGAACACATTTTTTGAAATACAAATAATTTCGAGTTCTTGTCCTGATCAAGCCAAGTATTAACCAGATCGGCATTGCTTATCAATTTTACTCCATCTGAAAAGTATTATAAAATAAAGTTCGTCGCAAGCAGACGCAGGTGAACTATACAAAAATTAAAAGTCTATGAATATGACAACAAAAATATTCAATAAATACGATATGTTTTGATATGTTTTTTTTAAATACCTTTTTGAAGTTTGAAAACGTAAAATTTTTATACCCATTTAAGAATCATCTTAAAAAATAAAGAAAAACTAAACAATCACGAACTTGTTTAGAAATAAATTTAAAGTACATACCTTGTGTTTAACAATATCCATAGTGGCTTTCAATTAAGTACGTACCGTTTAACTCCATAATATACAGAACTACTATGAATGTTATTCTTTTCACTGATAAGACAATGATCGCAAAATTTATTTTTAGTGAAAATATTTGCTAACAAAAAACGCTGTTTATGAAAAATAATATACAGGATGGTTGAACATTGCTATAAGCATAAAATTTCATATTCAGGTATTAGTAAATTTTAACTTTTTTTTCGATTTTTATCCATGGGACGAAGCACTGTGCGACGCACTATTGCCGGACCCTGTAGAGACTACGTTAATGAATGTTCACAAAAGAATGAGCAACATGTTAATTATATTATGTTTTATAAAATTTTCAATGAAGAGTTTAATTTGTCATTTTTCAAACCTAAGAAAGATCAATGCGAGCAGTGTGTCGCTTACCAGAATGCGTCTAATACAGAAAAAGATAATCTCAAAGAAAGTTATGACAGTCATTTGGTACAAAAAGATTTGGCTCGTACCGAGAAAAAAATGGACAAGAAGAAAGCACCCCATGGGAACATGCTTTGACTTGCACGCAGTTTTTCAGTGTTCCAAAGGGGATATTTCTGTTTTTTATCATAAAAGCAAACTTAATGTGTTTAACCTTACTTTTTATGAGCTGAAAACTAACGACGTTACCTGTTTCGTTTGGCACGAAGCAGAAGCAGCGCGTGGTGTTAATGAAATTGGAAGCTGTGTATTGCGATACATAGAAAAAAAAGCTCTGTCTACTAAGGAGGAAATTGAAATAATTTTTTATACCCATAATTGCAGCGGCCAACAGAAAAATAAATTTATGATCCATTTATATCAGTATGCTATTCACAAGTTCCCCAATGTCAAATCGATTACACACAAATTTTTAATCAAAGGACATACGCAAAACGAAGGCGACAGTGCCCATTCTATTAGGGGAGAGAAAATTTAATTAGAAAGGGAGGTTAAACGAGCATTAAAAAGTGGTCAAATATATACACCAGATCATTTCATATCCATAATCCGTTGTGCTAAAAAGACTGGACGGCCATACAATGTAATAGAAATGTCATATGAAGATTTTTATAATATCAAAGCCCTTACAGGAGTGCAGGCGTCATTTAAAAATACGAACAATGAAACTCTCAGAATTAGTGATATTAAAACTGTAAAAGTGACTAGAGAATCGCCCTTTTCATTTTATTACAAAACTTCATACTTAGAAACTGAGTTAAAGCAAGTCGAAACACAATGTAAAAAAAATAATTTAAGAGGAGTTTCAACTAATATTCGTTTAATACTCCAACCTGCTTATTCGAAGAAATGTATGTTAGATGAAAAAAAGAAAAAAGACCTACTCAATCTAATGGAGAATAACCATATACCAAAATTTTATGCTTCATTTTATAGTAATCTTTAATGTGATGCAAGATTTGCTGTATACTGTATTAAAAAACATTATTTGTTATACTTTAACTTAAGATTTTTGTTCTTAGTTTAATAATATAACATTTGAAATTCAAAGAAGTTTTTCTTAAACAGCGGCACAAGTATAAAAATGGGTTTACTATTATGATATTAATAACATTTGCCAATAAAAATTTACCCCTTGATGTATTGTTTTTTCATAAGCAAAAGTTGACATCAGTCAAGTAAATCAGAATTTTTTTATAAATTTTTTAAGTTTGTCACAATTTTCAAAGTTGTCTCCTGTAAAATTATCATATTTCGAGTTATGCCACTATCAAAGCGAAGCAGCAATATGTGCCAATTTTGATAAATATACCAGGACTTTTAAAATTATAATTTTTTAGACTATTTTTGACATTTTAATTTTTTTTCTCTGTAAATCTAACAACACAAAAGACCTACTAGTAATTTACAGATCATAATTAGCCAGACAACTGTTGTTAAAAAAATCCAAAATAAAATGTCATTTATCGATAATTATAAACATTCAGGCCAGCGAGGTTAAATTGTTCAGTTTAAATATTCGGCTCACGTTATAATCTCCAAATTACATCTATCTCTAAAGTGAAATCATTTTAGGCACAGCAAAATGCTAGAATGGAAATATTTGGAAAACAATAATATTTAGATATAGACAACGTTATAACAAGTTCAGTCTATTATTTAGGATAAATTAAATATAAGTGGTTCTATTTAAATTTTTAGTTTATTAAATTTTTAATAAATATACAGGCTGTGTCGCGGCAAATTACTAAAATCTTCAGATTTGGAAAAAATGGATGACAAAATATCAAAAAAGGTAATAGAGAAAAGCTAATCCTGTGCTGAATTTCAGAATCAATATTGGCCTTTTCCGAAATCAAACTGCCGAGGTAATTAAATTCCGCCACATATTCCAATAGCTTTTCTCCGATTTCTATAGCATGGTTGTGATCTTCCGGGGGAGTGCACATGATTTTGGGTTTGTCGATGTTTAGCTTAAGGCCCAAAGCCTCGTATGCCCAGGTATATGTGTCCAATATTTCTTGTAATTGTTGTAATGTCTTTGCAACTAGAGCGCAGTCATCAGCGTATTGAAGTTCTGTGATGAATTTTGTACTTGTTTTTGTCCTGAGTCTTTTTATGTTGAACAGACCGCTTTTTTTGTTTTGCTGTTTACTGTTTTGTTAAC